AGCTTTGTTCGGGTATTTTCCCACATCATTATGGTTGTGCTTTTAAAGTTTTAGCAACGTTTCGGCAGAATCTCATCTGCCATCATCAGGCTTCTGTACTGTGTTCATCGACGTGGGAAAATACCTGAACAAAGCTAAATACCATACATGTAAGTACCTGCGAAAACTTTTATATATATATATGTATGTGGATCTTTCGTTGTTCGGGTTTTCTCCCGCGTAAGATTCGAAGTATCTAGGCAACAGAGCCGAAGACAGAAGCCTGAAGATGATGAATGAGACTTCATCGAAACGTTGCCTAGATACTTCGAATCTCACGCAGGAGAAAACCCGAACAACCAAAGATCCACATACAAATACCCGCGAGAACCTCAGAAAACAAATATATATACACACACACACACACACACACACACACACACATACATACATATATGCATATATACATACACACATATACATTCATATGTATTTGTACACACAAAATTAACAATTTTTAAGGCTAACAATTTGATAATTTTATATAATTTCCCTTTATGTTAGAAATTTATATTTTATTGTTTTTTGAAATTATATAATTTGAAATTATATGTATAATTTAAAAAAGCAATAGAATATAAACTAAAATAAATGGAAATTATATAAAATTATCAAATTGTTAGCTTTAAACATTTTTAGTCTTATACATAATATATGTTGGGGGGTTTTCTGTTATGCTACCACCACATATAAGATCCAAAACTATTTTGTTCTGAAAACAATTACTGTAATCCAGCTTCAGGTGGAATGTATTCTTAAGTCTCACAAGGTTGCCTGAGTATAAAGGACACAAGGTTTGTTGATTATACAGTTAATTAAGTCCCCCCCACCCCACCCTTTCCATGGTACACTGATATCATTTCAAGCTTAGTTTTAAGTCCCGTGTACTGTAGCTGGCCAGACCAAGGAAGCAAGAAATATATAGATTTAGAAAGGAATTTTTAATTTTACCTCTGGTAAATACGGAACTTGGAAACTGTAAGTGAAATTTCCCAGCTTCATTTACCAGGGGGTTAATTAATGTGGAGTCTCTTTGAAGACATCATTATACCTTTGTTTAATTTTCTTCCTGTCTGGTCTGTCTTGCCATCTATGAGATAAATTGACTTGTCTGTTGCTTTTACTTCGTTTTTTTTCCTAGCCTCCTAGTTATTTCTCACACCCAATAAAATGTATTAGCCTAGTGTGCAATATTCACTGTTTGGCGTTCAATTCAGGGTTAGTGGAAAATTAAGGGCTTTATCCAAGCTTTAGGAGCATACATTCTACTTACATAGTGACACTTCATATTTCTCTTCTTGCCTGTGATTGCCCCCAAATCATCACTGAACAGTGTTGTAATCTTCTGAAGAAGATCATGATATGGGATTGAATAATCAGTTCCTCTGGCAGAATAGTACCAGAATAAGGCCAATGGATTTTTGTTCAATAAAAATAAGAAATATGTGTTTATTAGATTCAATTTACATTTGAAATGCTATTTTTGTAAACCTCTGGTCTAGAGAGAGAGTGTTCAGGATGCCAGAACTTTCAGAAAGAACCACCACATAGATTCCTGTGCCTGGCTCTTTGATTAATAAAGTTAATGAGGCATCCTATTGTCTACTGGACTACACACATTCACCTTTGAATCAGAGCTTTGGATAAGAGACAACAACATTTTAATACAACCCAGCAAGCCTAAGCAGGATTATAAATCCAGTGTTCCCATTTCTTAGCCTAGCATTAGCCACAAGGTACTCTGTTCCGTAATAAATATAGTTCCAAAACTATGTTTCTTGGGTGCCTTTTTATCATCTCCAGACCTCAGAAATGTTCCAGTTGCTTTTGAATGCAAGGGACTATTGTCAATTTAACTCAGACTTCTGCTGTAATTATATTGTTTAAAGCACATTTAACCTTAATCTCATTTTAACAAGGGATTGACAAGCTTTGCAGATGCCGTGTACCCTTATATAATCTCATATGATGACCCAGAAACTTGAACATTTTTTTTTAACAAAGGGGGAACTCAGTTTTGGGGAGATCATTAAATCTTACCTTCCATGATTTCATGCAAAACAGGAAAGTCATGGGATATCAAATAAATGTCAAACTCTGTTGGCAAATTTGGCTTTCTCATACAAGAATTTGTGAGATTTCATAAAATCATAGAAACGTCGTAAAATTGAGTGTGGTCACTTGTTGACCTGCTTAATGACCATCACAGCTTATAGTCGTAATTGTAAATTCAATTATGGTTGTAAGTCCAGGACTGTCTGCAATTTAATTTGTCTTTCTGCCTTTTTTTCAACATAGTACCATCAGCATTCCTCATTTTGGCCTTATTTTAAGTGACAAAAAAAGGAATGAAATGTTATAAATAAGCAAACAATAACCTGGTCTTTCTGGTCTTTCAATGTTTGTTTAATGCTTCAAATATTTATATGATTCCTTTTAATCTGAAAAGGATTAGAAAAGCAGTTAATTCCTAATAAAGGTCTATCTTAAATGAAAAAAGATTGTAAAACAGTTTGAAATATACTTCGAAAAAATAAAATAAAAATAAAAGAATTTAAAGCCTTAAGATAATGGTTGATCTAGGAAATGAATCTGTTTTATAAAGTGATTTCCTTTGGCTCAAAAATGGCTTTTTTTACTTTCCTAGAGTTGCACTTTGAATAAAATCAATTCATATGATTTATAAATGTACTCCAAACTGTAGTAACAAGATAAGCGTCAATGAGCGAAAGTGAAAGTTAGATTTAATAATTGTCTGAATGGCTGTATGACATTTGCATTGAAGAAAAATCTGATCCTTTGTCAATATTGGTTTTTATTATTTTATTTATTATTACATTTCTTGTGTGGAGTTTCAACAGTGGAAATGTTTTCTAAACTACACATGCTACTGTAATTTTAAACTAATGTTTGTTTTTCCTGCAGGGATCATCTTTTAGCTGTCAACCACAGGAAGCTTATAATCTCTTTTTAACAGCAGCTATTGGTGATGGTATCAAACTTTGGGATTTGAGAACATTGAGGTAACAGCCAGTCATTTTGCTGTTTGCCATGTTTCCTTTGGTAATTCTTGATAAGTGCTTTCTAATGTTTTTTCTTGCAAGACTTCATACTGACTTCTTTGAAATACTTGATATTTGCAAAGTTATGGAACTTCTGCATGATTTGGTGAAGTTTGGTTAGTCCATCTTTGAAACAGCTGCTTAGAACAGTTCAGAAATAAGGCAACATATAAATATTTCTGAATAAATAAATAATTTATCCCCAGCATAAATTAACTTATGGTTTCTGTTAGATATCATATAATTTAGGGAGTACAAAATTGCAAAAATGATTGTGGGGTCGTATTAAAGACAAAATGTTTACTCTGTGGCATTTTGTCTTCCTCAAATGCAGATGTGCTTTGGTGACACAGCTTTCTGAACACAGCACACAAACAACCAATAAATATTTTGTGGCACATGATAAAAAATAGACAGTCTACGTTTGTCCTTGCATGAGACTAAACTGGGAAAAAAACATGGAGAATATTGCATAGGTTCTTTAGTTTAAACTCATTCTCAATAATAAAATCTAAATATTGCTATATTAAAATGTAACTTAGTCATGTGATGAAATGCCAGTGACTGAGGGAAAACTATCATAAAAGCTTGGGGAAAGATAAATATAAAAGAAGAAATTTCATCAGGAGGAGAGATTGGGGAGTATGGGTATGTAATCATATAAGTCAGACAAATGTAACACAGGGAAAAATTGATGTAACCCAATTGGCAGAATTCCACAACCACTTTACTTAAGGATTAGCGATTTGTTGCGTACAGTTTTGCATTGTATCTGATGAAGTAAATTGTAATCTACAAAAACATGTGTAATGCATTTCTTCCTGAGACACCACAGGATTTTTGTTGATTATAACTGAATATGCAAGTTTACATTATTTATGGTATAATGTAACCTACCTATACATTGATTCTTGACTCTAGTTTTTGTTGTTATGAATGAAATGGCATTATGTTACCCCCCCCCCCCAATTCAAGTGACAAATTTTAAAAAAATTACAATGAACTTAACAAACTGGAATGCACTTTTTTATTCTTAAAAAGTGTTCACTTGTCTGAACTGAAAAAAATATTTCAATATAGGGTTACAAACTACAGAAGCAGTACAGGAAAGTACACATGGGAGATCTTTGTAAATCATTAAATGTCCAAGGCAAATGTTTTGGAAAAAAATTAGCCTGGAAGAAGTTGGAGGCAACTCTATAAAAAAATCCCCAACAGAATTTTACCTTTTAAATAGGAATTAGCACATTTTTTGAAACAATAATGGCTTATTACTCCTAGCAAATGTCTAAATATAATACAATGAAATATTTGGGATAAAAAGTTAACTGCATTATATCCTTATGTTTTTTCTATCAATTGGTTTAACTACTATTCATGAAGAGTAAAAAGTTAATTTTTCTAACAGGTTACTCACTTGCTGTCTCTTTTTAAAACATTAATTTAAGATTTGAGGGGGTATGGTAAAATAGTTAAAATACAGTCTGTGTAATTTATCTATATTGTAATCCTAAATTATATAGTCTAATATGCTATACTGTTGGCTACTTCTAGAGTATTTGATTTCTTCCCTCCCTTTTCTTCCTTCTATTTATATTTCCTCTAGTTTGTATTGTCTCTGTCAGTGCTGTTGACTGGTTTAATTTAACATCATGGTAGTCAGAGGTGGTATTCAGCAGGCTCTGACGAGAACTGGTAGCAGAAATTTTGAGTAGTTTGGAGAACTGGCAAATACCACCTCTGACTGGAGATTTTACAGTATCCTTCCCCTGCCATGCCTACCAAGCCACGCCCACAGAACCGGTAGTAAAAAAAATTGAATCCCACCACTGATGGTAGTGTGCTATGACTAGCACTAACTGCTCAGCTGCAGTTGACTTTGTGAGGCTGATACCGTAGATGGTCTTGTCCATTTTGGTTCCTAATACTAAGGCTAGTAATGGAAATTTTAATGGAAATGTTAAAATCTGAATTCCAAATTATGTGGGCATTCTTTATATATGAAAACAAATAATATTTACCAGCACCTACTCATTTATGGAAGTATACCACAGTCCTTGGGTCAAAAGTTCTAGTAATGAAGCTGTAGAATTGTTTCAACATATTCTATCAGAGGCAACAGCAATTGTTTGTGCACAAATTTAGGAAGCTTTTATATAAAAACAGAAATAAGAACGTAGCAATGGTTGGATCATGCCAAAATTCTGACTACATATTTATTTGGCTGATCAGATTTCCCCAGAAATGAGAAGTTCGCAGGCTGGGGTAGTTCTCTCTTTTTTTCATCCATGGTAGTCAGGCGTATAGTCCCTTGGATCTTCGAGCAACTTAGTTTCGTATCTGCACTAAAAGCACAAATCTCTCACAAATTACAAGAATTATATGAAGAAGATAACAGTCTCTAATGCCAATCACTTTTCAGTTATGATGGTAACCTTATAACCAATATTCACATTTATGACTTTCACCAGTCTGTAATCATAAACACAGTCTCAATTTCAGTTAGACACCACTTTGTTTATTGGCTGAGTTGCCAGACTCAGTGGTGCTTGCTAAATAAGGAATACCTGTACAGTTTAAGCTTATAGACTGAGCAAAGTCGTGAGACACCAGTTCTTGGAGTGAGGATTCAGATGGTTATGCTGGGAGAAATTTAGACAGGATAAGACAGAAATGCTTCAAGCTGCGCTGGATGGGTAATTTTATCTGTGAAAACCCAGAGCCTATGGGTCCTTTTGGATTCCCTGATGAACCTGGATACCTAGGTTTTTGTGGTGTCCAGAAATGTGTTGGCACAGTTCAGGATGGTATCTAATTCTAAGCATTCCTGAAGATGTCAGATTTGGCCATGATGACACAAGCTATTGAGCTACCATAACATAGTCTGAGAAAAGCACTGAGAAACAGAAAAGAGCTAGTCCAAAATGCTGCAGCCAGACTGATGTCTAGAACTGATTAAAAGGAATATGCAATTCCCTTCTTAATACCCTTCCACTGCTGGCAGTCTGTTCCTGGAACCATGTCAAAATGTTGGTTATGATCTATAGTTTTATATATAATTTAGACCTAATTTATTTGAAGGATCCTATTCTGCCTTATGAGCCAATTCATACTTTTAAAATTGCAAAAGAAGTCATTCTCTCTGTGTTGCCACAGTTAGGGGTACCTTCTGCTGCTACTGGAATTACTTCTGTGTTTACATTTTACAAATGTAATCTTTCTCTAATGAGCCACAGGGAGGACAATTCTTTGATGGAATGTTGGAATAAAAATGCAATAAACAAGTGGTAATAAATTTTTCAGAAGCATACTTTTTGTAAAGAAAAATCACGCAAATCATTATAGAAATTATTAGTGAAATAAAGTTTGTCATCTATTTCTAAGCTTATATTGCAGCAATTTGTAATGTAAAGAGCATAGAAATATAGAGAAGTTGGGTTTGCTTTAGACTCTCCTAATATTATTTCAGGCATTTTCTGCCTATATCCTGATCATAGACTGCATGTGAAGAATATTAACCCAGTTATCCCAGCCTTTCCTGTAGCACCTAAAAGTTATGTGACAAAGATTTAATTGCATAGAATACCACCAATAAGCTGATTTCTATAAAACATTTGTAAATATTTTTGCTTTCAGCAGTATGTGGCATTTGAATTATTAATTGCTTCTATGTTAAGTCAGAATAGAGGAAAAGATACATGTCCTTCGTGATCTATGAACATCTTGATCCATGAATGTTTATCCATAGAGATATATGAGTCTGGATTTCATAATTGTATATTATGAGAACTATTAGCATGAATTTTATATTTGTATATTATATTATGATTCCACTGTAAAAAGTTGATTGAAGTGTAAAGGTTTTTATTTGTTTTTCAGCCAAATTTCAAAAGCAGCTTAGATAAACTATTTCTTCACAAATAAGATCTACAAGCCTTGGGATTTATTTTATGCTTTTGGAACAGACAAAATGGGTTTATATTTCCATAAACTGGGAGCCACCATCCTCATATATAAATCTGAGACCTCCAAGAGTTAAGAAATTAGCTGTTACTATAATGTAACAAATTCTCATCTATTAATCAAAGAGAAAATATGCGAGTGAGGATTTGTTTATAGAGTTCCATCTATTTCACACAGAAAAGAAAGAAGATATTGTACTCAGTTATGGAATGCCCAAATGTTTAGTAGTAGGAACATTTATTTCCTTTATTTTATCCATATGATTTGTTGAAAATGTTCTGCAGCATATAATAACCACTGTGAATAATACCTCTGAACATACCCAGTGGTAAGCCTCTTATAAATTTCTTTTGAGATAAACAATTTCTTGCTGCAGTAGATATGGGGCATTGTTTTTCTTGGATAATCTCAAAAAACTAAGCAGGATGGAAAGTGATTAGCTCTTGGATGGGTAGCCACTGGAAAATTCCAGGACTATAGGTAGACCGGAAGGACTTGGAAAAAGATAGTGGCAAATAGCTTCCATATAATTGCCAGAAAGACTGTAGTTAAACTGATCTCAAGAATGTTTCCTGTATTAAATTATTATTATTAAAGACAGTTTTCTAAGCTATTTAGTCATATTATGTTATTGTGTCAGGTTTCAACCAAGAACAGCAATCCAGCCAAAGTTCAGTTGTTTGTTTGCTTATGCTGTATAGACAGAATCTTGCCAGACTAAAGCTATATTCCCCTAACCTATGAATATACCCCAGGAGACTCTAGGGAATAGCTATGCTCAATCTCTTCCTCCCTCCATGATCCATCTCCAGACTGTGTTGTCTCTTGTATCACCCCCCCCTTTCCTTGGAATGTGTTGTGTTCCTTCCTTCCTGGGAAACTGCTGCATTACTGAAATCCATCACACCACCTCCCAATTCATAGACACATCTCATTGCATCATGGCTATTAATTAATGTTTCTTACATTGATGTCTTAAAGACATCAGGTAGAACAGTGTTGAAGAATTTCTGAACCTGTATAAGAAATTAAAAATTATATTGGAAAATAAACTGATGCCGGTATTCAATGAAAGATACCAAATCCCTACAACTCATTCATCAAAATTGGGAAAGGAAAATCATAGATCTTCATATCAATTATCTGTTTTTAGCTAAATTAGGAACAGTACCTTTATTCTAATTTATGTTTCTTGAATACAATAGTGTACATATATCACTAAGCATATACATAATGTCTCATGCATCACTACCCTTCTTACATATATGTTCTAAAAATTAAAAATTAAATGTTAAAAAATATACTAGGACTAAGTAAATCAACACAACAAAATATTTGCAAATATTTGCTGATTAAATGTATTGAATTTCTCTTCCTAATCACAACAGATGTAATGCCCAGAGAACAGCAAATTGAACATATAGAAATAGAGAAATAGTCCTAATAACGTAACAAAGTCAATTCTGCATCTAGCACTGCAAGTCATAATTGAAGAAGATACTAATTGAAGAAGATACTATTTCCTTGAGATATTTAACATGAATACAACTTTTTCTGCTTATATATGTCTTCCAATAGTTTTATAATTTATATATTTGTTGTTACGTATGTACATAATACCTTTATAAAATTCAATAATATTTTAATTTTAAAAATCTATTTAAATAAGAGAGTTTAAGTATAGTGTAATACACAAAATAGTTAAATTCTCTTATTTTTAAGCAACTGGAGCATGTTATGGTGTATCGTATTCAATTCTGTTCATTCAATCAATCAGTCAATCAATCAATCAATCAATCAGCTGCCTGTTGGATGTTGATTATGAGTCAGAGATAAATAGAATATGTAATTCAAAGAATGAGTGAATTTAGAAGCATTATTTTAAAATTCGTAGTACTTAAATTTGTTAAATTTCTGCAGGTGTGAGCGTCGTTTTGAAGGTCATAATAGCCGCAGTCATCCATGTGGAATTAGTGTTTCTCCCTGTGGCCAATTCATTGCTTGTGGATCTGAAGATAAATGTGTATGTATAGTAGTTTACTTCTGACAGAATGTGATACTCCAAAAGCTGGCAACTTTCAATTAACCACCATTACAGTCTGGTGTACAGTCATCTTTCCAGGAATTTATTTATTAGACTTTTTTTATCCTACCTGTACTATTTTTTATAAATAGCTCAAAGTGGAGAATACTCTTTCCTCCTTCTAGTTTCCCCATAACAACTCTGTGAGATAAATTTACCAAGCTGGCTTTTGTGCCTGTAATCAGCTTATTCACAATAGTACAGATAGACCATGATTTAGGGCCACGGTTGAACCCCAAATTTATGTTGCTAAGTGAGAAATTTGTTAGGTGAGTTTTGCCCCATTTTAATATGACTTTTCTTGCCACATTTGTTAAGTAAATCACTGCAGTAGTAACACAGTTGTTAAGTGACTCTGGTTTCCCCATTGACTATGCTTGTCAGAAAGGTCGCAAAAGGTGACCACATGACCCCAGGACACTGCAACCAGAATAAAGATGAGTCAGTTGCCAAGCACCCGAATGTAAATCATGACAATGGGGATGCTGCAAAGATCATAAGTGTGAAAAATGCTCATGTCACTTCTTTCAGTGCTGTTGTAACTTTGGAAGGTCACTAAATGAACTGTGGTAACTTGAGCACGATCTGTATGGGCACTCGCATAAATTGAAATTCTAAATTTGTGGAATAGCAACACATTGATGATTCTGAACTTTCAAGTTCCTTCCAAGAACTATAATAATACTATTTGATAAATAAGTAACTAGTTGCCTACAAAAGAATGTCTTAAAATTGACTACATCTCCAACATGAAAATGATAATAAATTAGCTTTTTATAATCATTCACTGAAAACTCCAATAAACAGTTTTTGCCATTTTTAAATAGTATAAAATATACTTCATGTTTCTTAAAAACCTGGAGACATTGATTTTACAGAGTAGTTTATTCCAATTCTTTATTCTGTATGTATAATTGAAATTAATGCGGTTTTCATATTCATGATAGTAAATTGCTGGTTGGTGTCTGTCAAGCTTTCTTCAATACACAAGTGTTTCCCAGATTCTGGAAGCCGTGAAGGCCCCTGTACACAGGAAGAAAGATAACCTTGACAGTAATATATAAAACAGTTGCCAATAAAGGATAATATTTGTACCTAGGGTTCAAATAAGTGTACATTGATTATGTTATCTTGTTTGGGTAATGAAAAGTCTGCAAGAAAACAAGCAAGCTCAGAGAGCGCCAAAACCCCCTCAAGAACTATTGACAAAAGAGACTGCACCATTTTTTAAGTCCTGAGAAACAAGGTAATACAGTATTTGGAAGTTGCTCAAACAGACACCTTTTTGATTCACTGGAATATAAAAAAGAGGAGGAGGAGGAGGAAGTATAGCCTAATCAGACTTACAAGATTTTGTTATTAAAGCCAGTCCCAGTTAAAATAATCCTAGTCTTCACATGGAATTGACTTCTTGGCCTCGTCTATCCAAATAATGTAACTAAAAAGTATTTTAACTGTTCATATTGCCATTCATTCGTCTCATCAAAGTTATTTTCCTTTTGCTGTGCTTCAAAGTTGTTAAAGATACCACTATATATATTACCTGACAGTGAGCACTAAACCAAATTTCATGGCAAATTCTGTCCAAAAAGATTTTTCCAGCCATTTTTAAATGGGGATTACTCTGCAGCCTCACTTTATTATGAGAGTTGGACTCAGATTTTAAGATTCTTCCCAATGGAATGAATTATTTTATTTGTATAGTAGTTATTTCATAACAAATTAAAATTACAGAATAGTAAAATTAAAAAAAATGAATAAGACAATAAATAAAATAACAGCAAATATACCAAATTAAACAAAACGAAAATGGCAGCAAGTACAATATGTGCTTTCTTATGGGTGTAGTTATGGATTCCAGTATGAACCAATTTATCTCACTATTTGGTACAGACCAGACAAAAGTAGTTAAAGCCTTTTCTGTTTTTTTTCCTTTGATTTATAACAACAGAAACGGGACATTAGAAACATTCCTATGTGTCTTTTTTTAAAAAAGGCAAGGTTTTTCTGTGGTTGAATAGTTTACATAGTTTGAGGATCTTTTCTTAAAATAAGGCTACATATTTTCAGTTAAATATTTACTAATGTTTAAACATAGAATATTATAGAAGTAACACAGAAGACCTATGTATAAATAGGGTAAATAGATTGTGCTGATGTATTTATTGAAACATGATAGGAGTTATTTAAAATAATATGGAAATACTTGAGTAGAAAAATGGCTGTTTCAAATAAAGGTACACCCAACACTTTTTTTTGCATATTTTTAAATGATACCTTATTGAAATGAATACATATTGGAGATATCTAATAGAAATGTACAGGTAGTATTAAGCAAGAATAGAATCATAGGATTGGGAGAGATCTTGGAGTCTTCTGTCTATGCAAGAATACTCATAGCATGCCACAAAATCACTGTCTTGAAAGATGCCAGTGATGGAGTGCTGATGACTTCAGGAGACAGAATGTTCAAGTTCTCATTGTCCTTTTTATATTTGTGGTGACCAGAACTGGGCACAATTATTTATTTATTTAGTGTATGTCACCAAGTATTTCAAGTGAAGCCTGGCCAGGACACAAAAATAGTACTAGCACTCCCTGTGATCTTGACCATTCTCGGTGAAGACTGCATTGACTCTTTTGGCAATTGCAACGTATTACTAGCTCATGTTTAATCTGTGGTCTTTAAGGTTCTTCTCACAAGTACAACAGCTAAGTCAGGTATTACCTAACTAGATGAGTGCATGTCTCGAAGATGTTTTTTTCAAAAGGCAACTGGACTTTATTGTTTCTTTGAAGACATTTCACTTATTTATTTTTATTTATTTATTTATTTTGTCAAGCGATTATAAGATAACAGTATAAGCATGGTTATGAATACATGGAATAGATACATATAAGAAAAATAAAGAGAATCAATAGGACAGGGATGGTAGGCACATTGGTACGCTTATGCACGCCCCCTACAGACCCCTTAGGAAAGGGGTGAGGTCAATAGTAGACAGTCTAAGGTTAAAGTTTTTGGGGTTTGGGGAAGAAACCACAGAGTCAGGTAGAGTATTCCAGACATTGACCACTCTGTTGCTGAAGTCGTATTTCCTGCAATCAAGTTTGGTTCTTATCCAAGAAGCTTCTTTGGTTCTGAGTGAATACTAGGGAATGGAAGGATTTATATTTGTTGCAGTCATCTAGTCATTAGCATTCTTCGCGAGAATCATTAAGACCATTTGGAGGTTTATCTGTGCTCTCAGGCTCACTATAATAAGGTAAATGGATGTGGAACCTTCTTGGAACTGTTGAAAGGATTGTGTTGTGATCATGTACAGATCTGTACATTGGAGAAACAAGTGGTACAACATAGAAGAATAAATCAATCAGGACAAGATTCAGCACTCGATCTGCATTTGAAAGACAAAGGTCACTCTTTTGAAAACAATGAAGTCCACATTCTGGACAGAGAGGAAGGATCCTCTGGTTTGAAAGAGGGCTCAAAGAGGCTATCTACATTAGGATTGAACGGTTCTCTCTCAACAGAGGGGGAGGGATGTGACAGCACCTACCTCCTGTTTACAACACAGGTCTTTCAGCAGCTCCAAGAAGGTTCCACACCCATTTGCACCGTTAGGTGACCCTGAGGGCACAGATAAGTCCAAAATATACACTTGTCTAACAGCTAACATACAGACGGCTTCTCAGTCGCCAATTGTTCATATACTCTGGATGCAAACAACACTTTATTTTCACATTTAGTCAAACATGTTTTATACTGTAGATAAGTAGATAATTTGAATTATTTAAAATACTTTGATATTATTTGTAAAATCATGTCTGAAAATAGATACATGTTTCTGAAAGTAGTTGAGTTATTAAAATATTGATATTGAATAGTACTAGGCATATAGATACAATTAATAGTAATATCAATTGGTGATTTTTTTGTGTGTATCTTTAAGTCATTCATGGTTCTTGCTGACTGCTGGGACAAGTCCTTGTAGATTTTTTGACAACATTTTTTGGAAATAGCTTGCCATTGCCTTATTTATTAAGGGCTGAGAAGGAACATCTGGCGCAAAGATTCTAGTTGTCTTTGTTGCTAAGCCAAGACTTGGATTCATTGCCTCCTAGTTTCTAGCTGGTACCTTAAATTGCTACACAGAACTGGTTCTCATTGGTAATATGAGTAATAATAAAAATGTGATCCAGATAGATTTTGTAAATTCATTTTGTGTTCAAAATGAATAAATGTATGATTTCTGGAGAAGGCAAGTCTATGTACTCTGAGAATATTTTTATGGACTATAGGGTAGCATGATCTCTGCAACAACTATTTTTAATGGTGTTAAGCGGTTTAAAGGAATCAAAACATTATTTCAGTAGCCAATGATGGTACACACTGGGAACCTTTATTTTTATACCTTCTAACTCTCCAGAATTTAAGCTAACCCTAAAGTTCTCATTGTTAATTCAAATGAATAACAACAACTAGCAAATCAAAGCCCACCGCATTTGTATCTGCCTTGCCTACAATCAGTCAATAGAGTGTAGCATTAATAACAGGTGAGTCCAAATTAGGCTCAAAAAAGTCAAGTTGTGACTGTATGATCAAAACCCTATCCCCTTTTCAGGTGTGTATGAACACATGTAAATAATTAAATCGAATTTAACTTTACCTTCCTCTCCCCGCAAATGTCCTTGAGCAAAGGAAGCATTGGATTGTTGTTCAATATTATCTTATGAAGGGCTGGACTTTTGATAAGTGTACATTTTGCTAAGAGGGATTTAAAATAAAAACTCTTGTTCCCTGATGGGCTATTGGCAACTTTAAATGTGTGTTCTTTTTCAGGCTTACATATATGAGAAGCATTCCAGCACCTATTCTTATAAATTGACAGGACACACTGAATCCGTAATCAACGTGGCTTTTAATCCATCATCTCCCCAGGTATTTTTAATTTTTTTCCTTACAAATTTTAATTTCTGAACGTTTGTTAATTAAATATTGTATTGCCTCCATTTCTCAGCATATTTTTTAAAAAATCCCATTATAATTCCATTGACGATCAATTATTTTGCTGTTAAGGTTACGTCAAGTTAGCAGTATCTCACTTGATATCTGAAAAGAAATGTATATAATTTCTGATTATGTGGAAGAGCAAGGCGTGATCATTGTGGCTCCAGGGAAACTGTGGAGACACAGTTGTCTGGTGTGGAACTCCGATCAGCTGTGTGTGGGATTTAAATGAAGATGCGTTGTTCGCTCTCCGCTGGCTCCAAGTGATCCAGTTCAAGAGCTCTGCCGGTGTGGTTAATAGGGCTTGAGGGAAGGAGCTCCGCTTCTCTGGGGAAGGAGAGGAAGGCTCCGGAATTCAGCGGGTTTTGGGGGGCTCTGCTTTACGTTTTTGGGAAGGCTCTCCGAAGAAGGCCGATTAATGGTCCAATTGTTCTGGCTAGCAGGAGCTCCGCCAGCGTGATTAGGGCTCCAGGGCTTCGGAATCCAGCATTTTTTGGGCTCCAGTTTACTCACGGTTTCTGGCGCAGGTGGCAGCTTTAAAGATGATTTCTGGTGCAGGCGGTGGCTTTATAGGCTGATAGCACTCCAGGAGCGAGAGCCTCACCTTCCTAAGTTGGGCGCCACCATCTTTTGTCTTTTTCATGTGCTTCACCCATCACTTCCTTCCCTCTATGGACTCCAGCCAATAAATCTCTAATTAGCTAATCTTTAGTTAGCAATAGCAATAGCACTTAGACTTACATGCTGCTTCATAGTGCTTTACAGCACTCTCTAAGTAGTTTACAGAGTCATCATATTGCCCCCAACAATCTAAGTCCTCGTTTTAACAACCTCAGAAGTTTGGAAGGCTGAGTCAACCTTATACCTAGTTAGGTACTGAGATGCCATCAAGTTAGTTTGACATCTGGTGATGACTGCTATTTTATGCCTAATTAATTTCCAAATCTCAATGGCTGCAAGAATTAAATAATAATAATATTACAGTGGGATATCAAAGTACTCCAATGTTCTGCAAATGAAACACTACTTTAAGCACTGAGTTTGTGACAAAACTTTAGAATATGAGGTGGTTTGTTCCATGCTTTGAACATTTAAAGGACCGTTGTGAGTTCAAAACAATGGAATAATTTGCACATCCCTCTGCAAATGGATATTTGAAAAGTCACCTTGCAATGAGATGAGTGGCAAATAAATTTAATAAATAAAATTAAAAGATGACAAGACGAAAGTGATTTAAAAAACACTTGCTTTTTGGACAGGAGAAAAAAATCTACCCAACTTAATTTAAATTGACAGATCTCTGTGTCTGTATCTAAGCACCTATCTATACATGAATATAAAGAAACCGCAGTGTGTCCATTCATTATGCAGGTTTTATTTGGGTGCAGCTGACACTGAATGATGTTTGGTTATTAAAGTTTAGTTTCCCACACTTTGCATTTTGCATCAGTAGTTTTCAGCATGCCAAGATGCCAGAACCAATAACTAAGGTATAATAAACATGTCCATTTTCTGTAGACAGCATCTGCCATGAATAATTTAAAACATTGTATTCACTGAAGGAAGTATGATCTATTGAATACATGAGGCAGGAATTGGGGTAGCTTCATTCAGAAATAACAGTTTATGAATAAGGATATATAACTGCAGCCACAACATTTTTCTGTTTGACAGTGCAGCATTTCTTGGAGATTTTAATTCAAACTATTTATTTTATTAATTAAATTTATATACCACCTAGCACCAAGTGATACTAGATGGTAATCAAGGACAATAAAAATTAATGGAATGAAATTAATTATATCAAGGGTAATAGGACATCCACAATGATTATCTGTTGTTATCTTCCAACCATATTCATATTGTATAGTTATCAGTGCCAGATTTTTTTTGATTCCTTCTTATTTTAATAACAAAATTTTGCAATATTATCTAAAACCAGTTCTTGGACTGTGTGGAGTTGTAGTTGCATTTATTATTCTTAGTACTACCTTTTCTGTTTTAGGAATCGTGAAATTGTACCAGCAATTTTATATCCTAAAAAATTGAGATCAATTTCACTGTAATCAGTTCTATGGCTCAGTGATTGGGGAGGTCCGAAAGTTTTGCCTCAAACATTTTGTAAAATTATTTCTTTTATATGCTTTTTATTTGTTCCCTATTTTAGGATAAGGAGGTTTGTTATCTCACTGCCAAAGAAAAGTTTAGTAAAATTTATTTATTTGTATATGTATAAAACAATACTCCAGCACTCCCTTCTAGGAATTACCACTATCTCTCATACTCAATACAGCATGGGAGAAGCAAGGGGATTTTTGTGCAAATGAATCAGAGAGGCAAGGTTTGGATAGAAAAGATGGGCTGAGAGGCCAGGGCTGCCCAGGAGATTAAAAGAGAAAGCTGCTGAAAACAAGATCTGGTCAACCAGGCAACAAATGGGGAGGTAGGATTATTGCCCTTTTTATTCTCTGCTACATTGGAGAATAACAATTTTATCCTGAACTCTAAAGACTGACACTTTCATCCTATGCTCCCAGCATATAAAGTATCTGCCATCATCATTAGAGATGCTCCAAAATTATTTTGGAATAGATTTTGAGTTATTTTTCATTCAGAAAAATAAATAAATATGAGAACTAAATTAATGTTTCATATTAATTGGAATGCTTAGAAAATATTGTCCACACTAGGTCCATTCCTTGTTTCTAACCTGGCTCTCAAATATGTAATTATATTTTCGTTTAATTCAGAACTGCTATTGACCATCAGGTTTTACACAGTGACAGACAAAAACAAGACTCTTCTTTTGGTTCTAGTATTCCTGTCACAAATACTAGTTATTCTTACATTCATCACAACAAAGCAGATGCATCAGATAATGGACCAAGATCTACAATGAACTGAAATAAATCTGGATCTGCTATTCTCTTGACTTTATGTCTAAGCTTTGTTGCTCTCAGAAACAATATGTGATCCTTGACAGCAGGATGCCACATGAGGAGTCCTTAAAGAGGACATTTTAAATTGCTTGCTCAGCTGACTGTTGTTGCTTCCTGACTATGTATCACTCTAGTCAGTGGTCAGAAGGAGGGTTACTGTTGATTCTGAGAGGGAGCAATGGATCTTTTTGCATTAGGTGGTTAGACACCCCACCCACACCCACCCCCGCAAACACTGACATAACAGACAGACAAATAAATGAAAGAGGAGCTATTATGAAATGGAGGGCTTCTCTTAGCTAAGGATAGCAGAATGGAAAGATAATAATTAACCTCCAGCTCCACTTAAAAAGCATGCCTTTTGTTTGAAATGGATTAGAAGACCTCAGGATTCATATTAGTAGCTATTGGATAGAATAAACTCACTTCAGGTTTGAGTAAGTGCTCAAAGTAACAAAGGGGGGGTGAAGCAAATAAGGAAATAGATTCAAAAAACAAACAGTTCCAACGTCTAAAATACTGATTGTTGGCAGCTCACACCAATCCTTCTAAAACCTTCAATGACTGTGTGCAATATTCCACCTTGAAAGGAAACATCAGGAAGCAGTTTCCTGTGCAAATCTTATAAAAATGAAATCATTCAGCTTCAAATTATTGATGCCAAAACTTGGAGGCTTTCTAATGGCAATCTAGATGACTGTTTTTCTCTTAAGATTGATTACATGTAGGTTGGAGAGAATGGGCTAATACATATATCGAAATCTTGTTTTCCTTTCTGCCAGATGTTCTAGCTTTCCATGTCAGCTTTAACACAATAACAGCCAATAAGAGATACATAGGGTTTGTTTTCAAAATACTTATTAACATCTGGTATATGAAAAAGGACTAAAGTTATTAGTCATGCTGTACACAAGAGTTGCTTATGTTATAAGTACATGAGTTTAAGTCCCAATGATTAAATGTGCACTTTCAGGAGAAATTCATCAATAGCCACTTTATCTGGAATGTTCAAATTAGCTTCACTGACTAATCCAAAAGATGCTTTACCTGTATGATTTCTCTCATACAACCATAATGGGCTAATGGCAGATATATGTGGCAGGGTGAGGGGAAGATTAGACCAGGGAAATGGGGAAAAAACTCTATAACATCTCTAGTGACATTATATATTTTAAAGTTAAGCTGATGAGAAAGTTTGTTTACTCTTACCATCTCTGATTCATCTTTTAAAGTTTGGAAATGGAACTCAGTAACCTTGAATTCAATTGCAAAATAGGCAAAGATTCAGTTTTGGGCCATGAAAAATATTTTACAAAACATGAGAACTGGGAGAAAAAACACTTTCCTGAGCCTACTTAACATGTAGGTCATCAACTTCATGGATAAGTAGCTTCTGAAATAAGAGTCAATGCAAATATTTGTGATCAAAGGTATGAACTATATCAATAGTTATTACAGGTAGTCCTCAATTTACAACCACAATTGAGCCCAAAATTTCTGTTGCTAAGCAAGACAATTATTCAGTGAGTTTTGCCCAATTTAATGACCTTTTTTGCCATACTTATTAAACGAATCATTGCAGTAGTTAAATGAATCTGGCTTCCCGTAACTGCTTGTCAGAAGCTGGCCGGGAAGGTTACAAATGATGATTGTGTGATCCCAGGACAGTGCAGCTGTCATAAATACAAGCCAGTTGCCAAGTGCCCAAATACTGATCACATGACCATGGTAATACTGCAACAATTCTAAGTATGAAAATCAGCCATAAGTCACTTTTTCCAGTATCAATGTAAATTTGAACACTAAATGAATGGTTGCAAAGACTGCCTGGATTCAAAAGTGATTATATAATTAATACACTCAGACCAGGGGTAAAGAAATAATTCTGTATTTTTTTCTGCCATTTCCCAGTCATTTCAATAAAAAAATGTTTTAGAAATTATTTCACAGAAGAAGAAATTATTTTACAACTGGATTAAATATTCATTCACT